TCTCCAATCATCCACAAGCCTAATTTTTATACTTCTCTGCAAATTTAAGTTTATGTTTCTTGTGCTTTTTAGTTAGTAAAGGGTTTTGCTTTAACAGCTGTTTTTTCTCCATTATGTTTCAACGTATTTCTAGCTGTTTGAGCATTAATTTTTAATCCATGATATTTTTCTGTCTTTTTTTAAACATAAACTTCAGATTCAGTTTCCTCTTCTCACAATTTTCCACTCAGACTGTATCTAGAGCTCTTGGTTGGTCAGGAAACGGTTTTTTTACATGTTTTAGACATACTTCCTGTGCTGACATCAATATGTGAGGCAATTTTTCTGACTGATTAACTATTGTTGTTTTTGGGGTTTAACATTGTGTCCATTTTATATTCTGCACATAATATATTTATTTTCTCTCCATTAACAAATTTTTATATCAGTCTAACGAAAACTTTTGTTTTTCGTGTTATATATTTATTGAGTTTGTTTCATTAAATTCCAACTAAATGCAAATACGAGAAAACTCTCTTTTAAAATAATATTAAAATTTATTTAAAGAAAATTTAATAATTATATGAAAAATATGGGTTATAAATAGTAATTTTTTAAAATATTTATCATTGTTTGAGAAAAACCAATACAAAATGTATATTATTTTTGTTGGGAAATGTTTGGAAATGAAGTAATTTCAAATTATATATTAGAATTTTTATTCCTTCAAGCAATTTTTAAATTTTCATGAGGTGGCTTTTGTTTTTAAAAAATAAGATCAAAATTTATTGCATTTTTATACCTTTATTCTATGTAGATGAAAAAATTTTATTATATTATTGAATTATTTTTATATAAATTTAAATAAGTTTTGCATTGTACATTTATACATATAGATATATATTTATATAATGTAATATTCGTTTATTTTAAAACCCTAACATTAAATTTTTTAATAATGTTTTTAAATTTGTTTTCCTTTAGTTGATTTTAATATATTTTTATTTATGTTATTAAACAGTTTGTATATGTATTAAGTAATAATTATTATTAAGTAATACAAAATAATTAAGAGAAAATTAAAAAAATTTTTTCATCTGAAAACTTTACGTTCTAAATTGAATTGTTCGAATTAAATAGTATTAATTGAAAGATTGCTAATATTTCAGTTTAAATACAAGCTTTAAATCTAATATATTCCTGTAATTTTTACTTTTCTCTCTGTTATAACAGAGGAAAAATATGGCGATCGCTTAAAAAATGACCTCGCAAGATTCAATACGTCTAGAAATGCAAAAAAATTCGGATGTCTTTTTCTATATGTATGGATGTTTATATTTGTGTGTGTGTGTGAAGCACTATTTTGTTCACTCTGAAGCTTAATAACTCCTATGCTTTTTATCGAAAATTTCTGAAATTTTGCGGAGAGGTTTGTTTATAAATGGGATTGATGCTATCAAATATTGAAGATTAAAAGGGTCGTGTTTATCTCTTGTAGGGTTACAATTCAATAAATCTAAAATAAAACTAACAATTAAGTTAAATAGAACGTTTTATAAATAAAAAAAGTTAAAGTTTTCAGTTTAAATTAAATCAATTTAACTTAATTACTTTCAATTAATATATTTTTAAATTTAAGTTGAACATACAATACTATTTAACTATTATAACAATTATTATAATACTATTATAATATATAACAACTATTATAACAATACTATTAAACTAACGCTTAACATACAATACTATTTAAGGTTATAATCTGATTTTTTAAAATATATAAAATATTAATATAAAGAATTTTATAAAGGATTCGCTCATTCTAGTTATTAACATTTACAATTTTTATAAACCTGTCCCTACTCTCAAAATTAAGCTTATTCCGTTTTATAATAGTTAAAAATATAATAAATTTTTAAAATAAAATACAGGTATTGTAACCACGGGCGGATCTGGGTTTTTCAGGGCCTAGGGCTTATTGAAATCCAATGGGGTCCCACTTTTTGTTAGATCAGGATTCTTTAAATTGGGGTTTAAAATTCATTTTTAATTATAATACATCAAAATCAGAATTGAGATGTATTTAGTTATGAAATGGTGTTGGATTACAAACTTTATATCTTATATTAAAAAACATAAGAAATAAAGAATTATTAGTAACAAAAATAATTCAATTTTCGTGGGCTCTTGACAATTGGGGTCCCAGGGTTTAAGCCTTATTAGTTCCTATATAGATCCGTCTCTGATTGTAACAGATGGCGCCATTAAATGTTGCCAGAAAATTAAGCAAGTCGTTGCTAGATTTTTTTATTTTGTGTATGTAGTCTTACTGATTATGTAAATCCAGTTACTTACAATTGTGAAACAGCGATATCACTTCAAACTAGAATTAAGGAATATGAAGCAGCAATACCATAAAAATATAGCCATCCTCATGGTTCAAGAATAATATATCCAAATTTATTGTGATAAATATGGATTTTTTATTGTTAAGAAACATGTAAATATATTTTACAGGGAAAAAAATTGTATTTACGCAGATTTAAAGAACATATTGTGATAAT